CACTCAAGAAAAAAGAGAGAGACAGAGATAGACAGAAAGAGACAGAGGAAGAACGAAAACAAATACAGTGGACAGATGACAGATGCAAGGCAAAATGTTACAGTGGTCAGAAAAGAACAGCCCTATTTGCTAGATAAATGAATGTCCACTCTGAAAACAATGACCATCATGTGTCAAATACTTAAGTGCAGACTTTCCGTATCGACTCTTGTGACAGCCTGGTTTCTGTAAGTGTTCTGCTGGGATTGCTTCTCAGTGGACAGTTCATTATTGGCGGCATAAATAGTGGCAAACTGCCCACTGACCATTGTAGTGTAGGCCTTATACACTGGGGAAAAAAAGGATTGCTTCGAATTTCCTCCATTAAAGCATGTCTCTCGGTCCCATATGAATAAAACATATTACATCCACACAATGCTTGCCTTTAGTTTCCTTACTTTGGAGAACAGTTGTGTTGATGTAATATATTGTATTCATGTGGAACCAATATACACAAGAGCGTAGCTATAATTGGTTGCGGCCTTTGAAAGAAGAATGGCAGAGTTTAGGCCTGAGTGCACGCAGGTACAGTATAAATGGTAAATACATCATTAATGAGGGTGTTACATAGGTGTTATGAAAATGTAGGGCAGTTCAGGCACATCAAACGAGGCCAAGAATGGAGGTGAAATAAGGCCCATAATGCGCTAGAATCAGTGGAATGTGCAGTCAAATCAGAAAAATGTTTTACATTCAGTCCTTACATGACATGAGAACCTGAGTGCTAAATGTCAGCCGAGGCTGGATGACTCCTGAGGGCGACAGGGGCACCAACTCAGGGTTCTGGCCACCAGGGGGCTCTGTAAGTATGACTGTGTATGGAAGAACAGTAAAAGCTGGAAAACTGGGAGCTTTGTTCAAAAATCTAGTTTACATTTTTTTCCACTAACGCCAGATGTGGTCGATCAGACAAGACATGTTTGTGTCTTTAGTTTATTGTGAGGCTAATGTTGCTAATAAACACTAGAAGTCAATAGTCACCCAAATAATTTCTGTAAATACCCCCAAACTTTTCTCAACCTACTTCAATCACATACAGGTCTTCAGTAAGGTCATGCATACTTGTTGATGTATATTAGGACACAGTATGACTTAATATGAACCATAAAACTAAACAAAACATTATCATATAGTTGAATGCTATATTCAACGTTAGCCCCATGGCTCTGGTGCTAAACTCAAGAAAGCAAAAATTGGACACCCAACATGTCTTGAACGATTAAGTACGTCTGGAGAAAGAGTGACAAACGGAGATTTGTTGGGCTGAACGATTTTGGCAAAATATCTGATTGCGAATGTTTAGTATAAACTGATGTGTGGGCCTTGTTTGGCTAAGAAGACCAGTGCATACTTTTTTGGCTTGAGGCTTGAAAGCCTAACACAGTGCACCAGCTTGCTGGTTATTTGTGGTTGTGATGTCACAGCCTGGCAGTTCTGTTACTTCTGATTTGTTAAATTAATCTAGAAGCAGTTCACAAGCTCCATGTAATAGGTTCAATTTCCTTACTTAAACCTCACAATGTATCAACATTCACACTTAAAAAAGTTCTTCAAGCGTTCTTTAGTAAAGAAAATGGTTCTATATAGAACCATGAACACTCAAAGAACCCTGATTAAAGGGTTCTTTGCATCATGAAATGATTCTTCAGACTGATGGAGAATGTGCTGTTTATGTAATATGCAATTATGTAGTTAATTTCAAACTGTATAACGAGTAGCAACTCTTGACTGTCAGGGACGCTGCTCGTGGCCCATAGCTGTCCATGCTCTCTTATACTGATCTGTTTGTCAAACCTCCATCTTAAAACTCTTATCCAGGGCTGATAAATCCTTGTGGTTTTGGAGTGACGGTCTGTGTGCAGTGACATCATCTCCCATTAGCAGCCTCAGAGCACTGAGGTCACTGTCTCCAGCACTGGGAGAGAAGAATATTAGTTGGAGGGGGGGAAAAAAGCCATGAAATTTGTGAAAGGCATGAAAAAACAAACAGACGGCCAACAAATACATAAAGAGCTCTTTGTGAGTGCGTTTGAAAGCAGCGCTGGCGACTGATAAAAGCCTATCTGCTTGATCTGAACTCAAGAGATGGAGATGGAGTGGGCTTTCTTACTAATTCCTAAAAGAACATTGCCTCCTGGTGGTCTGCTGTTCCCTTGCACTACATTCATTCATGCGAATATTAGCAGGATGGTGCTGGCAATTTGAAGCTTTGTATTCGGCTGAGGACTGGAAGACAGTGGTCAGTGTTATGTAATGCATATACATGTGCACCTGCAAAAAGGCCAAATAACAATTCCACATTCTTTAATATAATGAAATTGTAATCAAATTATTTGAAAACCAATTGTGCTGGTAAAGTGCAGCTGGTGTTTTCAAACAGTATAAAAACAAGTACACGAGGGGTCATTGACAGAAAGCAACAAAAGCTATTTGAGTGCCAACTGCACCCCCTTGCGGATAATCTTCAGCCTGCAAAACCTGAATGAGTGAGTTACAAGCCAGGTCCATGAGGCGCTTCATACCTAGTAAAAAGGGAGTTTCACAACACTGATCAAATGTTTTAACATCCTGCTTGATGTGAGCTGTCTTGTAGAACTGTTTTGCATAATTTAACTTGTTGTAAAGTTTTTTAAACATTGTATATTTGTTGTGAAGTGATCCTAAACTCAAGAAAGGCACGATATAAATGAATATACAAACATTCCACCACTGTAAAAGTGTGACAGGTTTTCCACACACCCCAAATATAGCTGATCAGTCAATGTTTAGTGTTGAGGTATATTCTTAAAGTCTTAAAGTATAGAACTGGCACTATGAGGTCAACGTAGCTAACAAGTAATGGAGGCTTATAGCTACCAATTAGCATGTGCCTAAATTCCACATTTTTCTCAAACTGCAGGACTTAAATAATCCCAAATAGAAAAAACTCCCACTCCAGCTCAGAGCTGGGTAGCCTGATCTGACAACATATCAGAACATATATAAATACATTTTCTAAATATTTTTGAAATTTATTAAGGTGTTTACAGTAAAACTCTTAGCATGCCATAACTCTTTCAAAATGAAATAAGTCCTCTCAGATAGACTTGCTTAACATTTACAGGAAAGTGTACGAGTGCTGTGCACATTTGGCCTAACTTTCACTCCAAGTGCGGAATTCTTGAGGGGATTGCAGGCAGTCTCATTGGAGAGTGTGTTACTTAACATGAGGGAGTAGCAAACGTCTGATTACACACCCATTTCCCTTCTCGCTGGAGCATAGTTCCTGTCTTTAGCTGGAGTCAGCCTGCTGCAGCTCAACTAGGCCTTCTGGAGAAAAGATTGATTACAGTGATGACTGTGCACACATATGGACTTAGACACACAGGCAAAAGGGCAAAGAAAGCAACTCTTAACCAACAAGCCTGATTACCCAGAGTAGAGAGCCAAAACAGAGGGGAAAGAGAAGCCAGGTCATTCATCTCTGACTAAACAAGGTAAACCATTATGGTGCACAGGGAGTGAGTTCTGGATAGTTTAATAGACGTCTGCATGAACATGAGCACTGAGCTTAAATCAACTGTAATGTGAAGCTTTGAAAAAAAGCCTCTGCAGTCAAACCTAAATCAAAACACTAAGTCATTTTTGTGGGCAAATGTAGGACACATATAGATAAGTGAAAGCACAAGTGTGCAAGTATATATCCACTAATCTTAAGTAGCCAAAGCAAGGGAAGACTATTATAAAGAATAAAGAGGTCATAAATCGTTGGAATCATTAAAGCAGAATAACATTCATCATCAGTGTCAAAAAGCAGTTCCTAAAGGTCTTTCCTCTAAAACATAAAAGTGTATGCGAAATGTGAGAAGTACACTATCATGGAACTAATGTTTTCAATAACATGAAATCAGATTTGCGGCAAATACATCTATAAAATGTTTCATTACAGTGAGGGAGAAAATGTACTTGGACACATTTTTTGTTATGTAATATACTCCCACTGCATTTTTCACTTCAAATTTACACACACGTACTTATAAATGTAAAGAAATAATTATGTATACCTGAGCATAAACAAAGTTTGAAAAAACTTAACTGGTAGGCTAAAATATGTGTATAGATGTGCGTCAATTTGAAGTGGATATGTGCACTGGAAGTACATTTAATAACAAAAACAGGTCTGAATAATCGTTTCCTCCTCACTGTATTCTGGTAATGTACAACTTCAGATTCCAAACAAATGTGTGGGAATCATGAACAGAGCTGAACATCAAAAATGACGTTATAACACAATTAATACACAGAATGACCAAAAGTGGTAAAATCTTGAGGCAGATAACTTGCCAAAGGTTTTGGTAAACAGAGCATTAGAGGAGATTATTTATCATTTAGATGTTTAAATATTAACATTTAAAATACTTACATGTTTAAGCTACACTGTATTTTATTTAATAAAACAACTAAATTAACTAAATTAATTAAAAAAATAATAATCTGGTTTGTGACCAATCACTTTCAATTATAACTCACAGTGACTTCATCAATATTTGCAGGACAGTGACTTTGTGGCCCTCTAGTGGTCATATGAGGAGGGGCAGACCTTTGAATTCAGATTTTATATACTCATATACTCCGTTTTCAGTTTCAGAGGGCCAGTAATCATAATATGGACTTCACAGCCCATGTGAAGTGACCACCATGAGCTATAAAAAAACTTGCACTGTGGAAACAGTGGCTATTAATGGTCCAACACATAATACATATGGTAAAGTGAGAATGTTCAGAAAACGACAGTTGGTTTGAACATGGCAGGCTGATTTCGGAAATCTACTAAAACAAATTAACCAGAGAGGCAAATATCCTACAGGCAATATTTTGCGTTCCAGACTCTTTAAGGACCCCCAGATACCCTGTGAGCCTGATAAGACTGAAAGAATCAACTCAAACCTAAGAGAGTGAGCATACTGAATAAAACACCCGACTAACCAATCAGCAGCAAATTTTATATTTGACAAAGAAAAAAGTGAAGAAAGCACAGCTAACATAACAAATGGCAATATAATATTCAAGATTCATCAGACTCAATTCAAATCAGTTCACCACTGAGTTCTGTCTATGAAAATATACCAACTATGTGAAGGCTTATATTACAAACAGCGTGACTATGTAAATATTTCATTCTTCCTTTATCCTGCATGAGAGACATATTTAGCATCAAGTCAAGACACTGAAAAACATACAACACACTGAAACACACAACCCTGTCCCCTCCAGCATGAAAGAGCACTCCACCATCTACACATAGTAAATTAAGAAGAAAAAAAAAATACACATACATTATGTACACAAAAATGTTATTACTCGTATTATTGCTTTAATATATATTTTCCCTTGTTTAATAAAAAGTAAATGAAAAGATAACAAATACTCATCTGAATCAGGGCTGCCCAAAAACATTTAGCCCTCTGGGGCAGAATGGGATTTGGCTGGTTAGGAATTACAGACAGAAAGATCCATGGGTTGAGATGAGCCAGCAGTGCTGAATGCTTTTTTAGGTCTTTTTTTTTGGCCTTTGGGTCACTGTTTGGACAGCCCTGAACTAAATGAACGTGCTTATACAAGAATGTGTGTTTGTGTCTGCATTCGTATATTAAGTAATAGCAAAATACTTTCAATAGCAATACATTTTATCAAGGCATCAGATCTAAACTAGTCTCAGGAATCATTCAAACCCCCCTCCCCTCAACCTGCTTTTGACTCCACACACACACACACAAACACAAAGGAGACCAGCCCCGTGTGCACCACTGCTCATGATATAACTGTGTATATCATCACTGTGTGAAGCAGATTAGGGGCTGGCCTTAAGGCAGAGGTTCTATACATTTCAGTCAAAACTGACACAACAAACATGACATAAATCCATGGTGAAAAACTATGTAAACAAAACAAAGCCTAATACAATGTGAAGAACTGGCAGGCAAGACAGAGATTAAAGAGTAGACTATTTGAAGCTGTGGGAATATTATAACTTTTTTTTTCTTTGCACACGGCCTATAACACTCCACACCTCCCAGCCCTCCCTCGTCCAGTCCCAGAGTCCAGAGTCGGCAGGTTGTGGCACAGCGACTTGAGGAAGGAACAATCATACTGGGAGCCAATATGAGAAAGCTAAGGGTTCTGGTTTTTCTTTTGCTTCCTCTAAGTCAGTGCTCTCCTGCCTTTCGCTGTGGAGGGAGTAAGGGTGGGAGTGAGGGCTGGAGGGTGTGGAGGGGGTAGAAGTGTGTTATTTCAGTGGTGAGGAGAGATGGGATGGCGGTAGCCGGCACCTGGCCCCTGATAGCGCTCGCGGGCGTGTTTCTCACAGAACAACTCACTTCCCACCCAGAAGTGGCCGCGCATCTTCAGGTTGAGGCCGCAGTCCGTGCACGTGTAGCACTCTGGGTGACGGAAACGATCGTCTACGATCCGCACCGCCTGGGTGCTGCAACACAGGGGAAAAGTTCCATCAGACAAGTCCTGGGCAATACGCTAAAGTTTAAAATGTATTAAATATATTAATCATAATGAATTTTTTCATGTCGTGTGATGTTAGATAGATCACTTTATTAATCCCACAGGGAAAGTCGTCTATCACAGAAGCATGAAGTACAGTAAAGAGCAAAACTAGAGTAAAAGAATTGCCGTACGCTATTATACAGGTGAATAAATGGAAGAAGATATACATAAAATCTACTAAAACAATCATAAAATATAATGTGCAGTACAAGAATAAGTAAGTAAAAGTGACTAAACACTGTAAACAATAACATGCTAATAGTTGTGCAATATGTCTGGGTGTATAAACAAGTGGCAGTGCAATACGCAGTATGTATAGATGTATAAACCAAAGTGTCAGTGCATAGTAAAAATGTCCAGTTGGTGCCCAGTGAGCCTGTCCTGTCAGTAGCTCAGTATGCAATAATGTCCCAGCACAGTGGGAAGGTGTTGTATAGTGCGATCTTTACTGGTACAAACGACCTCCTGTACCGTTCCTCACTACAACTGAGCTGAATTAGTCGGTTGCTAAAGGTGCTCCACTGTTGGACCAGTAGGTCATGGATGGGGTTGAGATGTGTTGTCCAGGACAGCAGTGAGTTTATGAAGTGACCTCCCTTTCACCGCCACCTCAAAACCATCCAGTGAGCAGCCCAAGACTCAGCCAGCTTACTTGATCTGAAGAACTGATAGTTAAATAGTATATTGATAGTTACATATAACTATTGATAACTGATACTTATTATATATAAAAATTATATATAAAGTTGTTAGTGAATTCAGCTACTTTAAGGTTAACTCATTGCTGACAGGGGTATTCAGCTGTGCACAGCTTGAATAATCTCCGTAGAAAATCACTGATAATAAAATGGAACATTTTGGAGCAGCTGCACAAGAATAAGGTCACCAAGCCCAATGCCAAACCTTAGCCAAATGGGGTATAAAGCCCCCCAGCATTGGGCTGTTGCGCAGTGGAACTGCATTCTCTGGAGTGATAGAGCCCCATTAAACTCTTTTGGGATGAGTTGGAGTGCCGCTGATAAAGAAATAATCATCCAACATTATCATCATCCAAATGTAAAGCAAGTTAAATTCACACTAAGGAGCAACTTCAAGCTTTTGCTACCAATTTGAGAAACAAAATGGCATATTTCTGCAGAAAAAAAGCCCTAAAACCTTTGAAAAAATTTTAAAGTTTTGATAAAAATCCCCTTTTAAATAATTATTTTTTATTTTATTTGCCTAAGGATTCAGCAGATATCCACTAAGCACAAACATACACATCCAAATCTATCCACACCTACTACTTAGTGCACAAACACACCAACACCCACAGGTGCATGTCTTGAACAGTCAACAGTATACAGACACACCCTCACATACAAAATACATGTTTGTCCAACTGCTTCGGGTCAAGGCGTTGAGGGAAATTTTCAACAGTGAGTATAATGAGGTAATTTAGCACTGAGACAAACCCACTTCTTACACCTATGAAAATGCCCTGGCAAATAAAGGTAATGAGGTATGAGAACAGCTCTTCCCTCAGGGTGAACTATCTCTGTCAGCTCTACTGCCTACTTATAATCTCTTATGCAATGAGATTTCACAAAGCACAAGTAAGCAAGCCAGCACAGGAAGATAGAGTAGAGTGTGCACCAGGGTGTTAATATGCTTTTTCATCTTAATGCCTTTGAAGCATTAAGCCTTGCCTTTCACTGCCTCATTGCCCAGTTTTAGCATCTATGTACATTTCTATATTCACTATGTAAATGGAATAAATGTCATTGAGAACATCATGTTATGTGCATATGTATGTGTCTTACACAATGCTGGTGCCACATTTTTCACAAGTGTGGAATTTCTGGACCCCGGCGACTGAAGACACAGGCTTGGGTGGACTTGGTGACAGTTTCCCTGGAAACCGGAGTGCTGCCTCTGTCATAAAATGAACATACAAAAATGTATATATAATATATGTTACTATCAGCTCTCATGAGCTCAGATTCTATTTTTTAATACAGTGGTGTGACAAGCAGTTTGTATAATCTCCATGAACTGAACTATATGAACTAAATACTTGTCTTATCAGCTTAGAGTCTGGAAACTAAGTTGATCAGAATCTAAATATTTATCTAAATGTCACTAGCACAGTGTTTTGGATGAGAACTTTTCACATCTTTTCAAATGCTTCCCTGTTTACCTCAGCTTCTCACTCTTTCTGATTGAGTGGTTTGCTCTCCGTTCAGCTGCTCGCTGACACTTCTGTTATGGCAGGAACGTTTGCCAGCAGCTCGTTTGCGCATCGTAAAACTGTTAGCGCCGCCTTGCCTTGTCTTCTGACTACTAGACTCAAAATGCTGCACAATCAGCTGAGTGTGGGAAACGGCTAGGAGAGCACACACGCTTAACTGTGAACTTAAGGGCAACCTTCCTGTTAAACTTGATTCCTCAGATAAAAGGCAATTTAATCAAAGTAGTTAAATGTATGATGCATTTGGACAGTAGGTCACGAGGACTTGGAGTGACTACTATAATAGTGGATGCTTTATAAAAGGTAGAAAATGGCCAGCATGTTATGCTGATAAAATAGCAAAAGAAGCAAACGTGAACAGGACTGCCTGCTTATTAGTTCATTTTTAATCCAATGATTTACAATAGATTTCTGGAATTTGCAGTTGCTGTTTGGGTGTCCACCAAGGAATTCTGGAGGAATTAAATGAACTGCAGAGTGTTTGTGTCCATGTATGTGATTGTTTTCATAGACTGTCAGAACAAAAATGTCCTGAATTTGTAAGAAAAACAGAAAAACAGGGCTAACCTATAACGTAAGGACCAACATGGTTCTGAGTTTCTAAAGTGCTTTTTTAGCAAAACCATTTGTTGATGTCAAAATTGGGCTTATAAATTTACTATTGAATATAGGAACTTATATGCAGTTCTATATACATGTAAGACGTATTATATACAGTCGTATGCAGAAGTTTGAATGCACCCGGTGAAATTACACGTTTTGCTGATTTGTTGAAGTTTAACACATTAAAGGAGAGAAAAAAATCCAACAAAAACTTAACAAAACTGCTGCAAAGGCCACATTTTATGTTTATTTTTTTTTAAACTAATATGTAAATTAATAAAATAAACAGTAAATGTGCGTTAAAATGTGCAAAAGTGTGTTCATTTAAATAGCTTAGCTTTAGCTCTGAGGATGTGTAAACTTAATTTCAACGACAAGACCAGCATGCCCAAACTTTTGCGCACAACTCTATAGGTACTTACATTGATCTATAATACATACAGAACTTGTGTATGTCTACACAGCCTGAAGGTATGAAGCAAATCTGTGTGAAAACGTGCACGTAACTCACCTTTCTCGTCTGCCTCCAGCACCTCCTGCAACATTTTAAAGGTGTTAGACTGACGAGGGGCTGAACGAGACTCCTTATTCTCCTGAATCATCTTATACACCTCAGAGTCCCTGTCAAACCGCTGCATCCCGAAGTCCGAGCTGACCCACACAGACAGACAAAAGAAGAGAGAAAAGGAATTGAAAGCCTAAGACTCAGTGTTCACACTTTAAATCAATCATTAACTGTTCATGGAACTGACAGGACAAAGTCTATAAAGTTTGCATTCATGCTTTGTCTAGACCACTTGTGAGAAAATACAAAAACAGTAGTGGAAAAAGCCATTTATGAGACTGCTAATTCAGTACCTTTAAATTAAAGGAGGAAACAAGCTACTTCAAGCATGAATGGATGAATTGACTGTTGCTAAATGTAACAGCAATATATCTGTGGTCGGTGTGATTATGTGGCTGTGCTGTAAATAAGCCAAAAGGAAATGAGAACATAGTGACTTTGACCTTGTAACCCATTCAAATCAACTCTAGCTCACATGGCAAAAAGTGAACATTGTTTCTGCTGCAAACAGGCCTCTGTAGTGCATGTATAACAGCATAAACATATTACAGATGGATATGGGGAGAAAACCATAGGATGATCTTGAGCCATGGCTCAAAAACATATTATGAAATCAGTAGCATCTCTTCAGCCACTGGAGGCCGTAGGGTTAGCTCCAATAAGTCCAGTGTGATATAAAAGCTCTCTGTATATCCATTTGAGGCTTTTCAACTTTATTTGTACTGACCACAGGAGAACCTTAGGGCCTTCTAGGCCTTCAGAAAAGTCCTAATGATTTTTAGGTAGCAAATATTTGGTTAGGACTAGTGAACAGATGGTGGTATACATATGTTAACTACCAGTATAATTTTGTGACATTGGACATTTTACTGCAGGCCTGAACATTAGCTTTCTGTTAGTTGCTAGAAATCAAAAATAGCTGCAGCAGTTATATGGTAGGATTATATCCTGAAGGATACTGTAAAACTGCAACTTAAGTAAAATATATGTTACCGGACTGCCTGTCACAAGATTCAAATGACTGTTTGAATTAGAGCTGCTATAAAATGTTTTACCACAGCAAGCTTGGTGTTATCATAACATTAGAAATCCTATAGTGGTGCTAGCCTTGGTGGGGGTAATGGGATAAACAAAGAGCTAATCATAAAGCAAATTATTAATGTGTACTTACATACGTGGCATTTATGCCCTTCACTGAAGGCCAAACTCACAGAGTCATAGTTCTCTACTTGTATTTAGCCTCACATGTTGAGAGTTATCAACTTCATTTTGCTACACTTTTCAAATGTAGTTACATAAAATGAATTACATTTACATTCTGAACAAACAGATTTGAGTCTTCCTAGTTTTTGTTTTATATGTTATAAAATGACAATAACATGGCATAAATGTAGACAGTATGAGCAAAAATAAGTTTACATCATAATTTAAAATCAGAAAATATCACCTCTTCAATTTAAAACATTATTGTTGTGTCAAATGAAAGTTCAAATGGATTTTCTCCGCTTGTTTCAATGAGCTGTAAGTGAACATCTAAGGTTTACAGGCTTCTGAATATTGCAGTGATGATAAAGTCTGTCATCCTTGATTGGTATAAGACCAGTTCTACAGCTTCTATTACTTTGTAAGAGATGAATTAAATCTAAAGGGAACAAAACTGTATTATTCAGAGTACCATCTATTTGTTTAATATACAGACTGTTCAAAAGGAACAATCCATCATCTTCAAGCATTTGGTTCATTACACTCGGCATCAAACCAAAGCCAATACATGTGAGGATAACATTCTTTGGTACTTCTGTCATTGCCAAGATAAGGATAAACTAACTTAACAGAGGAGCCTTTGATGATGTAACAGTCATTAAAAAGAAAATTATTCAGTGTTCCCAGCACAGAGATGGCAAAAGGTCCTGCAATCAGTGCTTGGCCCCTTTCCCTTGAAAGCACTTGCTCAGGTTAAGTCTCGGACTCTAGTGTTTGCAACAGGAGAACTTTCAGAACTGTAACTGTATAGGCTGACATCAATTTAATGCTGAGCAGAATAATGAGAAATTTTATAGATTACATCAATTTAGATTAACTTTCATTTTAGATAATATTTAAATAATTGTGTTCAGGTAGTTCTTCCCTACTGATGACAAATGTGCCAAAGTAATTTTATTTAGGTTCATTTTACTTTCTTCATAGTAAATAGATGCAATGTTGTGTGTAAACACAACTGAAGCTTGAGGACTAACAGTAAATTTGTTGCTTTTTTTTTTTTGTTAAGGTGAGCAAATGGAAAAAGCACACCTGGTGGAACAAAGCTACTTTTTAAAATTCCTTACAAATGCCAAGTGGGCAAAGACAGAGTGACCTGGCACCTGTTCTGGAAGTTTCCGATAGTTTGTACAGAGTTTTAAGATGTTTCATCCACTCATCACCTGCAACATGTCAGTCTGGAACGCGCTGTTGAAGCAAAAACATCTATTAAAAGAAATAATCATATTTTTATGCCCCATGATCAGAAATAAAAATGGTCCCAAAAGTTACCAAAATGACCGGTGGTGTAAAACACAGGGGCAAAAACGGCCCATAGTGAATCTCATTTGATATATTTGACACATACTGTGTGTACAAAAGAAATATCCCCTAAACGGCTTAATACGTGCTCTAATCAACAAACTAAAACAAGGTTCTGAGACTATTATAGTCCATAACCATCTGAACCATGAGATGGAGACCCATACCCAGAGGCAATGTGCATAGTTTATTTTACAGTGCACAGATAAAAATCAAACCACAGGGAATCAGTGTCTCAGCAGACAGGGTGAGTCTATCCCACTGTGGCTAACTGCATCCATATCCTACCCTCAGGTAGCAGCAGCAGCCTTTAAACTAAACCCACTCACCCTGCTAACTGCTTTCCGGGCATTCCTGACTGGATGAAACACTAAGATGTGACATTTCTACCATATATGACTAAACTCTCTCCCGATTGCTCTGTTTCACTTGTTTTTCCTCGCTAGATCTTTTTCCACTGGAAGTCTAAGTCTTTTTTCATTCTCAACAGCAAGTTGTCGTGGTGATGTGAAATGAACTGGGGCAAAATAAGGAAGTGAGGCCAAGGGGTCATCCTGAAAGTGTGAAAAAACCAGGTTATCCAGTTTTAAAGCAGGAAAGTGAAATGGTGAGTGAGCAAGATTAGTAGGTTACAGTAGCTGGTCAGCAGGAACTTTAAGGGAGCATTCTTAAGCACTACAGTGAGGGAAACAGTGAAGAAAATATAGGTTTTGTTTTATGGTAAATTCCTGCCACATATGGGGGTCCAATTAGCATGATCTACCGCCTGCCCAGCCAGCACAAACGGCCTGGAGCAAACATGCTCTTCTACATCAGCAACCCATATACACACACACACTGTGTGCTGTGTAAACCAGCTGACCCTGATTTGAAGCCCACTGCTGGCGTGGGTTTTGCTTTACCAGTATTTACCTAAACTCGGCAAGGTACAACTTTCTTCAACCATGTCAAGAGAGATCAAAATATCAGTCATTACACACATAAAGCATAATTTTTTAAGCCCTCTACTATATTTTAATGGTGCTGCACATCTAATGATGTGGATTTTAATGATAAGCAAGATCCCCTGCAAATATGTGGTGTTTAAATTCTTTAACTTCTCTTGGATGGCCTATTATGATTATTATTTGTCCTCAATGTGTATGCACAGCCCAGTGTTCCCATTTTGTGTACGAAGTCTGGACTATGCAATTAGCCGTTAGCTAAAATATATAAGTGATGGTGATCTCAAGTTATAACTGTGTCAAATCTATGTTTCAGATACATTATACTGTCAAATATAGCATAGCATGCTATAGTTACACACAGACACCAGAGAAGAGGTTTGATTCTAGCTCAATGGAGCTCTATTAATACAGGTAATCTAATTATCTAATCTAATTCCATTATACTGCCATCATTAGCATCGAAGGCTAGTGTTAGCTTAGCAAGCAGGCTAAAATAGCTTTACACCACAACACAGGTTTGATTCCAGTTCATGGATGTTCTATTGATTATGCAGTTTAGAGTACATATGTCAAGCTTCAGTCCTTAATCACTAACAATCATTAAACACACCTGATTCAGCTCATCAGCTAATTAGCAAAGCCTTCGTGAACTGAATTCAGAGCGGTAAATGAGGGTAAACGCTAATCTCTGCAGCACTTTGGCCTGAAAGGTCCCCAGTTTGACATGCCTGGTTTAGAGGATAAAGGACTGAAAACTAAGCAAGGGAAGCCAAGCGACACGTGTTGGAGTGACAGAGACACAGATTCTAACCTTTTCTGTGGTTAATACTTATTTTGTATTGAACATAGATTACTTTTTATAGTTTCAATTATGACTAGAGGTACTTTAAAAAGTCACTTTGCAATAATGTAGGATTTAATGGTTGATTTATATAATTTTTTTGTTGGTAAACATTAACAAGCCACAGTGGCAGTGTAATAGTTGTTTTTAGCAACTAGAACACCTGAAGTTTAAAAGTATAAAACAGATATACAAAAATGACAGTACAAATGCTTTTAGATTTGCTTTAGATAAAACAACCACATTCAATCACTTAGTAAATAATGAACACAAATTATGTGATCTCTGAATTAGGAGGTATAAAACAGATATACAAAAGTGACTGAACAAATTCCTTAAGATTTAGATTTACTTTGAGGAAATACTTCATCCAATCATAAGACCTCTTTCGCTATTTGCTTCAAAGAACAACTTTTGCATTCATTAAATACTTCAGCCAACCAGTCCACTGGTTTATTATGCTGTAGTTCAGGCCATCACACTGCTCTGGAAAAACAGATTCTTTACGTTCCTGTAAAGTGGTTGTGGTTTTGGTATCAGAGGCCTTATAACTCATCATGCAGTCTGCAATCAAATTTTAGTAAGTCAGAAGCTGCAGTGAGTGGTGCAGTATAGCCAAACACACCTTGTACATAAAGAAGGTCTCAATATATAAGATACCGACAACTTACTGTGGTATATGTACTACTGCTGTTACAGAAACAGCCACTAGCTGTGGGTGTGGTTGACATCTTTAGAAACCTGTATGACAAGTGGCCAATACCTGGCATGTTTGCCTCTCTGTGTGTGAGACGAACATGTAATGTGAATCTGTGTGTTGAAATCGTGGTATGAGAAACTGACAGAGAGAGAAAGAGAAGGAGAGAGACAGAAACATACTGAGCAAGAGAGAACAAGATACAGAGAGAGAGAGAGAGAGAGAGAGAGAGAGAGAGAGAGAGAGAGAGAGATAGATAGATAGATAGATAGATAGATAGATAGAGAGAGAGAGAGAGAGAGAGCGAGAGAGAGCGAGAGAGAGCGAGAGAGAGAGAGAGAGAGAGAGAGATGAGGAGGCTATAAATCTTCAGATCCACTGCATGTTCAGATCCACAGGCTGGACCCAGCCCTGTTCTGGGGAACACGCTCCAAATTGAAACCAGATTCACCCATTCTTCTAAAACTGCTCATTTTCCCCCTTTTTCCTCTACAAGCCCTCCCAAACTCTCACTGAACCCCTCTGCCCTAAAGACTATACTTCTCCTGTCCTCCTCCTGCTCCTTCTATTGCTCTCTGGATTGAGAAGAGTACGATAAGGCATCAAAAGCTCTAGCCGCAAGTACATATGTATGACTTACACCAATACAACAAGGGTGTAAACTGATACAAGTAGTGGTGTAAGTTTCTAACCTCATAATGTTTGGATTCACTTCAGATTCTCTAGGAAATGATTCAATACATCATAAAAAGCTCAAATTTCACCCAGATTGGATGTTTTTATTTTGGTACGATTCAGAATTATTTTTGTAAATATACAAACGTGACTGTAGAAGCTATTAACACAGTATAAGTCTATAGACAGCAAACGCAATGTACCAAGCTTTATTTGTATGTGGCTAGCCTTAAAAAATGTATTCTGGCTTAAGAACATAAGCATACATTTCTTTTTACATCAATATAATCGATTAAAACTATCCTGGAATTGATACAGCTGAATCACCACTCATCTTTGCAGCCCTATTTAGAAGCTCATGTATTATGAGCCACTGATTTTAGCATTTTCCAAACCTTATCATATGTTGTATGTTGTGTTTTGTTCGCTATTAGCCCACATGAGTGTGCGCGATTGTGATCTTGTGAAAACACAGGTCACTAAGCAGTCGTCACACAGAGAAGAGCCAAAACATGCACGATAGCATCACAGCCAGAGAGTGAAGCTGATGAAGGTCTGGTGCTGGTTTAGGACCCTTCCTGTACCCCAAAAAAGAACCCTCAGTCTAAAGAACCCTGAAGAACCTGTCCTAAAAACAAGTTAAAAACAGACTTACCTCAAAAGCACAATAAAAGGCACACAAAGACAAATTCCTCTGCAGTTAGCTCAGCTCCCTTTGGTCCAACAGAGCAGAGAAGTCTGCTGCTACAACTTCACACACGCTTAAAACCAACCGCACGGACACGCAAGCATGCGCACACACACACACACACACACACGCAAAACACACACATGCACACCCCTCTGTTTTGCCAAACTGAGACAGAAGAAAAGGGAGAAGTTTCAGTCTGAAAGGTGTGACTCAAGGCTACTACGTATTGGCTTGGTGAAAAAAAGGAGGTGGGTCAAAAGGGAATCCCAGATAATTCTATACGCTGTACATGGAGTGGGTGGAGCCAGGGAAGAGTGTTAGAGAGTGTGTGGATCTAAGGAAAGTGGGGGGCCAATTAGGGGCAGAAGTGAAAATCCTTTTTAGTGGGATTTTTAGAGAGAAAAAGTGGGAAAAAGCAGAAAAACAGAAAATGAGTGAGTGTGTGTGTGAGAAAGAGAGAGAGGGAAAGGGAGAAAAAGAGAGAGAGAGAGAGGGAAAGGGAGAGGGAGCATGCACAAGCGAGAGAGCACGAGACAGAGAGACCCAGACTAGGATACCAGCCATGTTCTAACTTGTCTAAGGGGCTGACAGAACCCCAAGATGAAGGAGCCAAAATAAACCCTGAAACAACTGTGTGTGTTATTTTTTTTTACTGGAAGTGAGAGAGACAGAGCGGGAGAGCAGGCCAGAATCCCACAGATCAAGCTAAGTCAACAGAATTACTCTCAACATATTAGAAAATATCCGAAACTGGGAGTCTGTGTAGATACGCTAACTAGAAATGCTGGTATTGGGTGTCGCCCGTTACCATGCTCCTTTACTCATACTCACAAAAATGCACCAATACCAACGTCTAATACTACCTGATACCATGATGTAAGCCTAGTGTACACGGCCTCCCTACTAAACAAACAATTCAGGCTGGCTGGAAATGAGGATCTGCTCACATAGCGAAGTGTTGCTGATGTCGTAACGCCGTGGCAGTCAGATGCCGAGGCGTTGGTCACTTTAAACATTCTGCCCTGTCAAATTCCAGATTCTAGCCCATTTTTAAACACACAAACACTTCCCCAATTTGGATGGATGCACATAGGTTAGCAAGACGGAGGCAAAAAAGTCGATTTTCTACCAATTTGCTACGAAAGTCCCCACTTCACTCTGTTTAACTGAATAGAATTGCTAAGAATAAGAATAAATGTTTGTAAAGGCTGTGGAGAGACCATAATGTCCAACTTTGTACATCACAGCCTGCTTTTATTATCAGTGCTTAGTGTGGCATAACTTATCAAAGCTGCTGAAGCAGCGTGTTTGTTTGATGTTTTTGAAATTGGTTTTATCAATTTCAGCATGTAGAACCAGAGCTTTCTATGTGGTATTGTTTTTTTTATGTCACTACATAAAAATTCACGACAAATCCTTTCTTGGTGGATGCGCCATGTTTTTTCTGAGCAAGCGCATGAGTAGATTTCGCATCAGTAAGCGCTTATTATCGATTTGTTTCACGATGTGTTCCTATTCATGTGTTTTCTTGTTCAAAAAGTAGTCAGACATACAAAGCTAATAAAAATTTCAGATTTTTCAATAGATTACTAGCATTCAGAAATAACCTTATTAATGTAAAAGAGTAGGTAAAATTGCCAAAATAGAAACTTTTTTGGTATCAGCCTTAAAGTGTTAAGCAAAGCAACATCTTGCCATGCACTGTGGCATGTATAAAACGCTGAGCAGGCCCAGTTGACTTCAATTTTGGATCAAGAAGGCAAGAGAAGATTAGAGCACAGATGACAGGAGCTTGAATCACAAAGACTGCCCAACTAGCTAGTGTTTTAATAGGAACACTGATTAAAGCGATATCTGCATTTAGACATCAGCAATCAGAGTTTGAATGTGCTTGAAAACACATTCAGTGAATGTGATGCTTGTACGTTCGTGTGATATGTAAGGAAAACAGAAGAGCGACTGTTCCTCGGGTGACCGAGAATGTCAGTATAGGAAGTGATTAGACTGTCAGCAGGAACACTCCATCCAAGACTAAACAGAGAGGAATATCACAGAGTTGCACTTCATAAAACTTCATTACAAATACAACTGCAGGCTTCTTTTACCATATTCTCTCGGTGCATGTGTACACCGAGAGAACAGCATAGGCCTTAACACTTGACCTCTACAGTGTGGGCTTCCCATGAACCTGTTCTGCTGGCATGTTTTAGGTCCACTTGCCCCCTTACAGGAAAGCATCACTGCAACTCAGTACAAAGGTATTCTGACTGATCAGCTTTATCCAATGATAAAACATTTCTACCTTGATGGGAGTGGTCTCGTCCAGCATGACCATGGCCCCTTCCACAGGGCACGAGAGGTCCCTGAATGGTTTGATCAGTATGAAAACTGTGAGGCACATGTTACGGCCTTCACAGTCACCAGATCTCAACACAACTGAACATCTATGGGAGATTTATCAAAGCTGTACCAAAACGTGTGTGTGTGTGTGTGTGTGTGTACCTGCGGCGGGGGGAGACCGAAAGCTCTCGTTCAATGGGGCTGTGTGGGGAGTATCGCCCAGGAGGGGTCGGGGTCCGACTTGACAAAGAGTTACTGCGGAAGTCCACTGAGGAAAACTCCTGATCAACACAAAAACACACAGCACAATAATCCAATTACATCATCAGCAGGACAATCTAAAACAATTACAGTTATGAACAACCATCAACTATTACTAGAAGTGATGCACGAAAATATGTAATGGCCAAAAACCAAAACTGAAAACTTTTTTTGTTTAAAAATTTTGTAACTTTCTGATTTTGGTTGTTTTTTTTTTAATACAACTTAATTGTAAAACTACAAAGTAGCTTTACAAAGTATTTACAAAGTAAAATGATTTTATTTCTGAAAAGTTTGATTAGGAAATTATTCAGTTATTGAGTCACTGAGGGCTGAGTTACAAAAAGAGAAAAAAAGGGTTTCAGGGTTGAGTCAATAATGACTAGTTTATTTCCAAAATTTATTACACTTACACGGTTATATTCTGACTTTTTGTTGCAGGCCTATTTAATCTCCAAAAACAGTAAGACTATTTTCTTATTATTCATCATTTTTAATCTTTAAATCAACAATTGAATGTGTCCAGTCGTGTTACTGCTGCATACTGATTATCATTCCAAGTACTACAGAAAAAGGATACCTTACTGTTTATCTTTTAGTACTTTCCAACATGAAGCAATATTTTTTTTGTTTTGTAACGTTTTAGCAATTCTTTGTTTCAACAAAGACTGATGACTGACTGTACCACGAACTGGACCATGACACAGCCACTTTACTCAGCAGGCTTAAACAGTGACATCAGTGTATATTTGAATTAATGAAGAACCGCCCAGTGTGTGTGCAGCACATGTCTGAAAAAACATCTTCCCACTGTCTCAGGCCCCATACTGAGGCACCTGTAGTTGTTTAGAGATGCCAGAGCACATCACAGAGGTTGAGCAAGAGCAAGAGCGTATGTGAGAAACACTTGTACAGACACACAGCAGTACAGTGAGAGGGGAAGAGAGAAAGGTTCAGCTCTTCCAGCACTTTTACAACAACAGATTCCTTTAGGCTGGCTCACGTGGCCTGAGACGATGAAGTTTGAAGGAGAGAGAGAGCAAGAGAGAGAGAGAGAGAGGAGAGTGAGAGAGAGAGAGAAGAAATGATACAGAGGGGAGAGAAAGAAAGAAAGGAAAGGAAAAAAGCAGAAAGAAAGGAGGATCGTGATTAAGAAAGCAGGAAAGAAAAAGCGATGAAAAATGAGACAATGAAAAAGTAAAAAGGAAGACGAGAAAGAAAGTATGAAAGCAAGCAAAAAAGAAAAAAAACAAACAATGGGAGATAGAAATAAAAGAAAAAAGAAAGAGGATGAAGTGAGAAATACTGAGGGGAAAAAAGAAATACACAAAATAAAAACACACAAATGCACTGAAACTAACATACATACGCAAACCATCTCTCTCTCCCCCTTTCTTTGACTCTCTCTCTGACTCTCTCTCTCTGACTCTCCCTCTCTGACTCTCCCTCTCTGACTCTCCCTCTCTGACTCTCCCTCTCTCTCTCTCTCTGACTCTCCCTCTCTCTCTCTCTCTGACTCTCCCTCTCTCTCTCTCTCTGACTCTCCCTCTCTCTCTCTCTCTCTCTGACTCTCTCACACCTGCTTCACCTGGGGGGATATGCACTCTGTAAGCATTAAGGCATTAAACATTAATCTTCCCTCAAAGGATGAAGAATCATCTTATAATCCTGACTAAAGCTTTAAGTATGCTTGCTCTGTCATCGGCTCGCCGGGTCTCATTGTTCCGCCTTCTTCTGACAGAGCTCGGCTGCATTCTTGGCAGCGGACACTCCTGTTCTAATCAATCTCACACTGAAACTCAGTCTACACACACACTGTACTCACGCACTGTACCCACACACACACACACACACACACCGACTTATTGTATGAGCCTTGTTAGCTGTTGATTGCTATTTATATCAGCGCTAGAAGCGTTTGCTGGGAATAGATGACAGAAACTTTGCTCGCTCACTACCAGATGTTTGGCCCTGGTGTTGTTCGTGGCAGCTGATCTGAGGTCGGGTCTGTGGCTTCTGTAAAAGCTGCGGCAAAACTTGCGGGCTGCAGAAACTGTTCCTAGATCAGGGCAGGAGCGAAATATCTGCCCAGAGGCTTTGAGGTTCTGGCTGAACAGATGCAGACCCATAAGCACAGCCAGCATGCACCATTCACTCAATGGAAACTTCAGCTGCCAGCGTGCATTTCCTCAGGACTGAAACAATTACTGCCGGCAGTTGTATACAATTTGAAGAAGAAACTTGGCTGCGAACGTTAAAACTGTATCACCTTTGCTGCAGACTCTGCATCGTCATGTGCTGTAAAGACCTAAGTATGACAGAGCGGGAAGAAGATTAAGTGGAGAGGAGAGAGAATAATGTATCAGAGTGCCCAAGTGCCCAATCTGGCCACTAGAGGGCAGTCTCTACAGAGGAAAGAGGAAGAACGTAGAACACTGATTCTGGCACTTTGTGTGTTTAAGGTTGTGACAACTTTCAGAAGTACATTGATTTTTTTTAAGGTATTCCATTAACTGAATGTTACTGAATGTCAAGTGTTGTTTGGATTAGCTTCAGTGTCTCTCAATCCCCACCAAATACAAGGTGGGAATATACTATGCTGATAAACCACACCTCTGTTCTTTACATTCTGCAGTTGTAACACTGGAGAAGTGCATGTGTAAGCATGTTCATGCCTAGTGTTTTACAAAGTCTTTCCAGCTTTGAGAAGAAAAGTGCATTTACATGTCATTACAACATTGCATTACAATCCGATAACTGCAAAAAAATCTAATTTTGTCAGTAATCCGATCAACACGTTCACATGCACATCAGACAACTCCAGATCTATAGGAGTCAGGCAGTGATCAGATTTCTGCTTTGAAACCAGCCTGTAAACTCACAGAAGACGTGACGTAAACATAATGTAAAACTCAAACTTCATGCTGTGGCTTTCTTTTTAAACACTCCATCACTTCACCTGAAACTATGAACATTCTAGAAGACGAAGAATATTTAACTCCTTCATTTAGTCAAGCATGTGTTTGGTTTCAGTGTTGCTCCAAAAGTGTTTTGCTGCGTCTCGCGGCAGCGCTGCTTGCTTATTTCTGGTAGAAATCAGTAGTTTACGTGCACTGAACTATACTGAGAAATGCCAATAGAGTTTTTGAATTGTAAATCCATAATCATGCCTTTTTGTTGTCATTTCCACTGCGAAGTGTGCCACGTTGTACCTGTGCACCTGTGCTGAATTTGGTTATTCTTCTTGCTGGGGAGCCAAGCGTGCCAAGCTGGAATGTATGGGTTGAGCTCAAAATGTAAACCACAAAACAAACAGAATTCCAGTCTGTGACTTCTCAAAATAAAATGCAGGGTAAAAAGTAAATCTGAGCCTGAAGTTCCTCCATTGCTGCTACTATTGCTTGTGATTACTGTTAACCTGTTAGTTCAGAGTCCATCTTTATAATGTACCATGCTGCACCATTCTACACCATTCTGCATGGTGAAAAAACAACAAACAATTTTTTTAAAAAAGTGAACTAAAGTAAGAATGATATTCAGTTTAAACAAGAAAAGGAAAGTTAGCTTATCTATGAATCGCCAAGATCAGTTTGTGTATGATTTTTTTTTTTAACTCTTCTTTTGAATTCTCCTATTCTTCTCACATTTACAGGTAAAACAAATTCATTTTTGCTTTTAAAAAAAAACAAAAAAAAAAACAGATTAATCATCAAAATAATTGGTAGATTAGCTGGTCAGTATTAAAATCAATAGTGACTGGCCTAAAACGAAATAAGGCTCTGACATATAAACTCACAGTAAAGCTATGCAGAACTCCTTCATGCGCAATGTACTGACACAAACACAAATGCACAGGCTAACAGTGCACTCGTCCCTCCCTCTCAGTCACTTATAAACGCACACAAATCTCTCTGTAGTCAGTAATTAGCTTCTGTTACATTTGTGTCAACTTATTGCGCTGCGAGTGCTGTGGAACTCTGGCAACAGGCACCGGTGTTTCATGGCGTGAGCTGTGCTGGGCAAGGCTGGCACACTTGTGGGGGATTACCCAGGATGCCCACACAGTTGTGCCCACGCCAAGAGGGCTGTCTGGACCATGGAGCAGCTGTCCACCTGCCAGATTCACCGAGCAAACAAATGAGAGAGAGAGAGAGAGAGAGAGAGACAGACAGACAGACAGACACAGAGAGAGAGAGAGAGAGAGAGAGAGAGAGAGAGAGAGAGAGAGAGAGAGAGAGAGAGAGAGAGACAGACAGACAGACAGACACAGAGAGAGAGAGAGAGAGAGAGAGAGAGAGAGAGAGAGAGAGAGAGAGAGAGAGAGAGAGAGAGAGAGAGAGAGACAGACAGACAGACAGACAGAGAGAGATCTAAACTCTCCAATCTCCGCTTTTTTTACTGTGCCTTTAAGACGGATATATTTACATGACCTCTAGGGAGTCATCCTTTGCTTCTATAACAGCTTCTACTCTTCTGGAAAATTTCTGTGAGAATTTGATTGCATTCAGCCACAAGAGCATGTGTGAGGTCATGTACTGATGATTAGTTTAGATTACTGGATGATCAGTTCTGGACACTCCAACTCATCCATTGGATGGAGCCACATCACTCCAGAGCTCAGTACTGGGGGGCTTTATACCCCTCTAGCCAAAGCTTGGCATTGTTCATGATGGCCTTAGGCTCATGTGTGAAGCTACTCTGGAGCATCACATTTATTTGGCAGTGCTTTTCAATGGAAATTCTATAAGCTGATTGAGTGCAACCTGAACACCTATGTCAGCAGTGGTGCACCTTAATGTAGCTGAATTCACTCATTAGAAGTGGCGCCTGGATGCTTTCAGACATACAGTTCCAGCAGCTTAGATTAAAGCAACCATAGTTGTTTAGTTGTGACCACCAACAGTTGATCAATGGAACAATACAGAATGATGGAAAAAAGTTTTTCAACCAATCAGACTGTGTGTTCTGTTTTCTTCTCTTAGAATTGCACCAAAGGGAACATTAATCTGTATTTTAAATG